GAATCTATTATTCACGAAATCACAAACTTAACCGAATCGGCCGAAAAATCATTCGGCAAATTTTCACAGGTGTCCCAAGAATTATGATAATAGCTGTAACTCAAAAGTCTCTCACACGGATCACCCGTCGGATAGACCATATGTCACCCGCGTAAAATTAGATGGGTCAACTCAAAAACTTCTATTTCGAACTTTCGCGACAACCTTGCTCATTTTTTATGTTCGCTGACTGTCTACCATTCCGAAACCTCCCCGGGTGACCCGCGGATTGACTCACCCGGGTGGCAATATCTCAACCCGGATTACCCACCCACCCGGGTTAAATCAGTAGGTCGATCAAATTTATAAAAAATAAGATATATACCCATCAACAACTAAACGATGAGTATCCCAATGGAGCTTAGGTACAGGACCATGATTCCTTACATAGTGTAAAGGAACAGGGGTTATGAAGCCTTGATCCATTAAAAGAGATAGAGGAGATTCAGCGTTGAATGGATGCTTTCCAGTGAGACGTACCATTTCGGGGTGACGTGGAATCCAGTCGTCAGGTGTACCTACGTCACGAGGATCGATAGTGTTGATACTTGTCGTAGCTGCTGCCATTAGTTATGGATGAAGTTTAACTTTAAAGACAGTAACGTTATAAAAGTAATAAAGAATAAAAATGGAGTGCAAAAAGAAAGAACTAAGTTCAACCAGGAAACATCGTGAACTATTTATTTAATTTATTTTTATCTACGTATAAAATCAATTTTAAGAGGGTCTACACATATAGTAGTGGTTGCATGGTAATATGTATTAATGTTACACGAGCGGAAATGTTATCTTATCTTTCTTTATCCGGTTTCGGGAATACGTACATACGTATCTTATCTTATCTGTTATCTTAATGATATATAATTTATATAATCCACGTGTTTATTTGGGAACACCCACAGCAAAAGGGGGGGATGGGACTATATATTATATAGTCCCATCCCTATGAGCGTTCCCATTTGTTTCTATAGCTGATAATTCTTTTCTGATACGTAAAATATAACAGATAAATACGTATAGGTTTATTATTATCATTATTACAGTATTATTATTATTATATATTATGTTATTATTAACGAAATTCCATTGGTGGACGTACATAAATAAGATATCGAATTACGGAACTTATCGTTATCGTAAAACGTCGTTCAGTGTGTGACTTTTCTGAAAAGTATTCCTTTATTTAGATTTTTAAGATGTTGGTTAACCAATCGTTATCAATGATTGCATACAAAAGTCACGTGTAAACTGTAAAGTACGTTGATAAACTTTATCCAAGTGCAGACTTTTCTGATCAAAGTACATAGATTATGAGTATCTCTATTCTGAGAATAGAAAAAATCATATTCTTTCTATTCTTTCTATTTTCTCAAATACAGATTTTTTTATTATCGATCTATATTCATAGCCGACTGTAAAGATAAGATAAGTGATTTAGCACCAAAACACAAATATTGTGATACACATTTTCAACATCACCCAATTTGCTTCCACTTTACGCTTTTCTACAGTCCTTATTGGTCGCAGGGGTGAATTGGAAATTCAAAAGATAGCATTTTTTGATCGGCCAAAATCGGGCAGGCGTAATATGACACATGGGAATAATGTTGGCAGAATATGAAAATGGACATGGACGTTTATGGACTATGTCCATATAGTCCATATTTTTGTATTGGACATAGACACTCAGTCCAAATCAAAATCGAATGCTTACTATTCCGAAATATTCCGAATGGAAAGATATTGAACGTAAAATATGGGCGACATTTCGAAAGATTTTGACAAGACACGAGTGAACCACAAAATGATCGCTCTTATTCCATAAATAGGATACTTTAAAAGAATTTTTGAACATTGATACATATACAAAATACATTATTTGGATTAGTCCATGTCTATATTTGTCCATGTCCAGATAAACTTTTCATTGGATATAGTCCAAATGCCAACACTGGTGGGAAACAACTACCCCAGGATCGCCAACAAAATTACTAAGTAATTTTCGCTGTCACGTGATGATAGACGAAAATAAGCCAATAATGAATTTCGATCAAAGAATTTTAATATCACGTGACAATAAAAATTTTGGTTGGCGATATTGGGGAAGATGGTGGGGAACGAGTAATGTAAAATCGTTTATTAATCGAAATTTACCTCTTTTACATTCCAATAGAAAAATATTTTGAGAAATTTTAGTGCATAATCAATTCTAACTTTTTCCTTACACTATCACATTCAATCACAGGCCACGCAAGATAGTGTATGAGAATAATCAAAATGGAAATATATTGATACACAGTGACAAATTAGTAATCAAAATATAGTTTCTTAGAAAGATTTTTTTTCCAATTTACTTTAATATATCCATTTTGGTACCTACGTACGTATATTTATTTTCTATTTAGAAGATCAAATGACTTAGTCTCAGTACATTTCTAAAGTAGGGCGAAAGAAAGAAGTGTTGTGAAAACGGAGATTAAGAACTTTTATTATAGAAAGTCCGTTCGAGCAATAGTAATAGTCATAAGTCATTAAGAATCGATTATTTTTATATATCGTTATTAGAGAACCCCTGTTTACTTTTATCGCGCATTCATTGAATCGACCTGGTTTTTCTAATGACGTCAGAATTTGTAACATCACAAAGTACTTTTTATAGAAACTAGTCTACAAGTTTATATATAAATACTATAGAAGATATAGAAATTTTATATAATAATACGACAGGGTGCAAACTAGGGATGTTATCCTGTTCCAACCGGTTAATTTATGCATAAAAACTTGTTGGAACACTGTTTCGAACCATATACGTGAAACCGGTTATCGAGCTCAGTTTATACAAATATACTAATAATTATATATGTTTGTTCAAAACCTGCTTCGTAAAGCATTTACAATATTATCGCTATTAGTTATTTATTGACCTACACAATAATACCTAATTTATTATCCTTCCACACAGTCGATAATACCTGATTCATATCACGTTTTTAAGCAACGGCTTGCAATAGCATTTTCTTCAGATAATTGGTTACGAATTGGATTAATCATATTTTTGGCTTTTAGAAAACATTTCTTCGCTAGATACAGAAGTGGCTTGTACAACCAAATAGTCACGCACCATTCATGCGAGCCCAGAAGTCCAATGGATTACAGTTGTACTCAATAGCTATGAGAAATTCTTCAAGAACATTGGAAGTATTATTTAATTTTTCATTACAATGTTTTTTAAAGCAATTTTTTAGGAGTCCATGACAATCTATTTTAGGAGGTGTTAGTTAATTTTTAAAACCTTATAGGCTCAAGGTTAGCCTTAATGGCTACCATAAGTTCATTATATCACTTTATATAATTATGTTTAAAATGTGACTTAATGGTAAAAAGGTTTGTATTTAATGAATAAGATTTACTGCAATATTTGCATTGTCGTTTATTGGTAGTTTTATTAAGTCATCCCAAAAGGAATCAAATTTTATACATTTTGAAGAGTGGTTGGTTATTTTCGAAAATGCTTCAGATTCAAGTAGTAAGTTTAATGGAGTTAATAAATAAAAAACAATCCTATTTATATTAAATAAAAAAAATCTTATTTATATTAAATAAAAAAATTTTATTTATATTAAAGTTTAATTTTCATCATTATCAAGAAATTTTTTTTTTTTTTTTTGTTGTAAATGCCATAGTTGAAACTTTATTTAATAAAATAGAAAGAAATTCTACATTAAAG